AGGAGGGAAGAGGCAGCCATGGAGTTTGACAGGGTGTTAGAACACATAGCTAGGGAGAGATTGGGATTACCTAGATACATGGTTACAAAATTAGAAATCACACAGCAACATAGCACATAACCCATAAATCATTAATGCAAGGACCATGTCTTTTTATTTTGTGTTTTTAAAAACTGGGGACGGAAATGAGAAACTCAGTTTTAAAATCCAGTGTTTGAAAATGTGACTGCAATTCTGAAAGTGGCTAACCTGTCACCTACGCCAAGCATCATGTAAACAACTGTTTGAACAAGCAGTAATTGAGGTTAGAGTTGTAGACAATTTGGAGCTGAGGGGGTGTACAGTTAAAGATTTTGTTGGCAACGAAAGGTTGATTCATATATGAATTAGTGAATCAATGTCAGAGATCATTTTGCCTGCCAACGACTGTTTGATTGGTTCTCAGTTAACTAAACAACTTAAAGCTGGGAACAAATTTCAGAGTGACAGAGTGGAATTCAATTCTTCCATAGCTCAGGAGCAGTCTTCCTGTTCTCTGCAGTCAAAACTCACTGCAAGCCCAAAGAAAACCAGGTCAGAAATCAGACAACACCAGGTCACAGTCCAAAAGGTTTATTTGAAATCACAAGCTTTTGGAGCGTAGCCTCCTCGTCAGGTGAACTGCTCTTTTTTGCACTATCTTGAGAGGGCGGCTGATGAATCTGGTGTTAATGCATCTCCTGACAGCTTCAGCACACATGTCGAACCTAGGGCAGTAGTCTTCTGGAGAGGTTCAATCCAACTCTTTATTCTTTGGTCGCTGCACCACGGATTTCTCTGTCGACTGTTCTGATTCGTTAGTTGTCTTGTTGGGCTCGCCACTAACATCTTGAAGTTTGTAGAAGAATTCCCGGAGCCTCATTTGTTTGATGAATTCCTTTGTGTCTGCCACGAGACCAATGGTGTCCATTTTGGTAGTTGGGCAGAAACTGAGCCATTGGCTAAGAACTTCAATTTTGTCCAGTTGAAGGATGTGGTCGGACAAGTTAATGGTGGATTTCCCTGTTGTGGTACCTGTCTCAACCGTGGTACCAGGGGAGGCTTGGTTACTGCTGGTGGTGGTGGTAAGTTTCTCCAGTTTCTTGTTCTGGGTGTGCATGTAGGCAGTGTACTTCCATTGCCTCATCTGCTTGGCTTATAGTGTCTTTATAGCTGGTCTGCTGTATCCTGAGAGCAAGCTGAGGACACGGACTCTATTCCAATTTCAAAGTTGCAGCATCTGTGATAGAGTTGATGGACGAGATGATAGAGGAATATGCGAGAGGTGCGAAGGCAAGGTCTCTCAGTTTAGTCCATGTTGTAGGTTGACTTGAGTGGATTTGTGATCTGTAGTCCTTTCAGGATTTTCTCTGCTTTCTTGCATCTCTGCAGAAACTTGATGTTGTGGTTGATATGCGTGATCTTCTTGGAGATCCTCTCCACTCTGAGCCAGCAGTTGGTGGTGTCAATGGTAGCCATGATGGGGAGGTGCCGGTGTTGGACTGGGGTGGACAAGGTCAGAAATCACATGACACCAGGTTATGGTCCAACAGGTTTATTTAAAATCACAAGCTTTTAGAAGAAAACCCACTTCCTGAAGAAAACCAACTCCTCTTTCTTGCAACAATTGTTGTATGCTTGTGACTTTAACAGATAAGTTAGAGACTTTTTATAAAGCAACCGGACACTGTGCATCTCTCACCAGCCAGTGGAAGAAACGAGAGAAAGACAAATGAAGCAATGTGCTGACCAGAAGAATCATAAAGATCATCTCAGCAACAGTACCCGAGAAGTGACTACCAAATTCTTTCCCCTCTGTCCACAAAATACTTATGCTATATGTTTGTCTGTGTGAGTATAAGAGGGAGCTTATGAGGGAATTAGCACTTTAATTAATTGCATTACATGCCAATGACTTATAACTGTTTACCTGCAGATAAAGTCTAATTATTTGTAACAAATGGTGATTCTTGTCCAGTGCAGATACCTGGCCAATGTTTTCTATCAATTTAGGTCTGAAAGTCAGGTATATTGAGGAATGTTGCATGTTTAACTTTTGTGACGATTCAGGAACAATGAGGCTTGATTCCCATGGACTACCTCAGTAATTTGGAACATGGAGTTCTGTCACCACGAAATGAAATATGAGCACCTGCACGATAAAGACTTTGAATCTTTTCTCCCAGTCAGTTCCAAATCAAACTTTCCATTTTCCACAAGCTCTTCAAGTAGGATGCAGAAGTGCAGCAGAGGGAGGTCATTCTCCTAGGAAGTATGACTGCATGACTATTGTGCAACCACTAGCAGCATGGATCTCTCTCTCAGCGGGGCCTCCAGGGGAGTTAGAGAGGTTGTTGTCACATGATGCAATGTACATCACAAGTGATCAGAAGCAAGGGTTACTTATTGGTTAGCCAATTCTTTATCCATGCTAATATATCACCTCCATACCAGAGCTCTTATTTTGTGCAATAACCATTTATGTAGCACCTTACTAAATGCCTTTCAGAAATCCATCTACAGGTACCCCTTTATCTATCCTTCTGGATAAGCCCTCAAAGATCCCTTCAATTTCACAAACACCATCTCCCCTTCAGTTAATCACATGGTTGAATAGATTAAGATTTTCTAAATGTCCTGCTTCTACCACATTAACAACAATTTCAGCATGTTCCCAATTACAATTGTTATACTAACTGGCCTATAGCTTCTTGTTTTCTATCTCCCCTTTTTTGAATAGTGTTAATATTTCTAATAAATTCTGACACAATGGACAATATAATTCCACCCTATACACCTATACAGTATTGTAATAAAACATAGGATTCTTACAAGTTGAATTGCAGGTAACTATAGGCCAGTTAGCTTAACTTCAGTCGTGGGGAAAATGCTTGAATCTATCATTAAGGAAGAAATAGCAAGACATCTGGATATAAATTGTCCCATTGGGAACACCCAGCATGGGTTCATGAAGGGTAGGTCATGTTTAACTAATTTGGTGGAATTCTTTGAGGACATTACTTGCATGGTGGACAATGGGGAACCTGTGGATGTTGTGTATCTGGACTTCCAGAAGGCATTTGACAAGGTGCCACACCAAAGGCTGCTACATAAGATAAAGTTGCACGGTATTACAGGTAATGTATTGGCATGGATAGAGGATTGGTTGATCAGTAGAAAGCAAAGAGTAGGGTAAATGGGTGTTTTTCTGGTTGGCAGTCATTGGCTAGTGGTGTGCCTCAGGGATCAGCGTTGGGACCGCAATTGTTTACAACTTACATAGATGATTTGGAGTTGGGGTCTAAGTGTGGTGTGTCAAAATTTGCAGATGACACTAAGGTGAGTGGTAGCGCAAAGTGTGCAAAAAACACTGAAAGTCTGCAGAGGGATATAGATAGTCTAAGTGAGTGGGCAAAGGTCTGGCAGGTGGAGTACAATGTTGATAAGTGTGAGGTCATCCATTTTGGTAGGAATAACAGCAAAATCGACTATGTTTTAAATGGTAAAAAAATTGCAGCACGTTGCTGTGCAGAGGGACTTGGGTGTCCTTGTGCATGAATCGCTAAAAGTAGGATTGCAGGTGCAGCAGGTAATTAAAAAGGCAAATGGAATTTTGTCTGTCATTGCCAGAGGAATGGAGTTTAAAAACAGGGAGGCTATGCTGCAGCTGTATAGGGTCCTGGTGAGTCCACACCTGGAGTACTGTGTGCAGTTTTGGTCTCCTTACTTGAGAAGAGATATACTAGCACTGAAGGGGGTGCAGAGGAGATTCACTCGGTTGATTCCAGAGTTGAGAGGGTTGGATTATGAGGAGAGACTGAGTAGACTGGGATTATACTCATTGGAATTCAGAAGAATGAGGGGAGATCTTATAGAAACATATAAGATTATGAAGGGAATAGATAAGGTGGAGGCAGGAAGGCTGTTTCCGCTAGCAGGTGAAACTAGGACTAGAGGGCATCGCCTCAAAATAAAGGGAAGCAGATGTAGGACTGAGGTCAGGAGGAACTTCTTCACCCAGAGGGTTGTGAATCTGTGGAATTCCCTGCCCAGTGAAGCGGTTGAAGCTACCTCACTGAATGTTTTTAAGGGAAGGCTAGATAAATTTTTGAACAGTAAAGGAATTAAGGGTTATGGTGAGTGGGCGGGTAAGTGGAGCTGAGTCTCAAAGATCAGCCATGATCTTATTAAATGGCGGGGCAGACTCGAGGGCCGGATGGCCTACTCCTGCTCCTAGTTCTTATGTTCTTATGTTATAAGCACTTTCTGTTTTAGTATCCTTTGGTACTACCAGCTGTATTTCCTCTGGTGCACTTGTAAATTATGACACTGTAATCCGTTGAAACCTTTTAAATCATGTTCAATTTGAACAATGTGGACTGGCTAATCTAAGATAATGTCATTTCCAGTTTAACCACAGGAAAACTTTCAAAACATTCAACCCAAAATATCATGTGTCTTCTGCATTCAAAACAATAAGTTATATACACAATAAACTCACACATCTCTATGAGATATGTATAGACATCAGCTGGGAAAATTTGGAATTTTATGGTCAAAATTAACACTCGTGCTGCAACATTTCAAAAGTAAACTGGATACTCATTAAGCCAAAGATGTATTGTCTTAAATAAAATTTATCAGCAGGACAAGTATCTATTACATACTTGCAGCTTGTGGCTCAACCTCCTGTAAGATAGTAAATAATCAATTTTGAGTGAGATCTTGGAAAAATATCCTAAAGTAATTAAAAGCAGAGATGCTCACCAAAAGCTATACGATTCCGAAGATTTAGAACTGCAGAAACGAACCATAAGACATGGAAAATTTAAATGTCAGCTTAAATAAATCATCTCTATTGCCTTTAAGCCTGTATGCCCTTATGAACAGGAACTGCAGGCCAAGTTATTTTCCACAAGATCAGTAAATTAATCTCCTGGTACGAACTGGTACAATCTTCCTTCAGTCAGATGCCAGGCCTGGCAGGGTGACGTATGCAGTAGTAAAAGCTGCTGATCTTGGTGACTAGCTGCTCAGTAAACAGTCAAACTCCAACCGGAACAGGATCCAGCTGCAGCCTGCCTACAAACTAAATGGCACGCTTGGCACAAACACAAACCCTTTTGACTTCTTTCAAGCATTGTAAAACAATCAATTTGAGTATGTGTGAGTATTCAAAACTTAACTTATCAAAATCAAGAAATCCATATCCTTTTAAGTATAGGCATTTTTTTCCAAAACTCTGATCTGTTTGCAGTTACTGTTTCAAGAAACAACAATGCCTCTTTAAGTTTACAAGTCTTTCAGAATTTTGCAGCATACAACTGATATTGTTCCACATTTATACAGTTGGCAGCACTTGTGAAACCATAGTCCACAGATTGCGTAACTAATTCACAAAGAAATTTCTAATCAAAATTTCAATCAACTTCAGACAGAAACAAATAACTCAGGAACAATGCATATCGGAACCAGGATTTTAAAAACAAACAAGAGTAAAAAAGTTTGCTTTATTTGAAATCTATAGTTAGATCTCTGTTTTGTTTACCTGTAGTCATCTGCAATACCATCTCACCAGTCACTTTTAACAGCGTTCACAACCTCCAGGGATGTTTAGTCCAGTTGAAATCCATATTTAAATTATAAAACAAAGCGGCAATTTGGGGTTGGAGTTAATTCAGCCTCTCATGGCAAGAAATATGATGGCCAGGCCCACGTAATCATGGGAGAGGCCTTACATCAGTCCCATAGCCCGAGGAGGAAGGGAACGCCCCATCACAGGTTTCTGATTACCAACACCAGGATGTCAATCAGATTCTTAATGAACCAGTTGATGCCCACTATCCCCGAGCCCACTGCAAATTGATGGCAGCTTGGGATTAAATGCAGGTACCATGGCTTTCCCATGGCCCCAGTAGGTTTCCTGGGGATGGCTGCCCCTCACTATCTGTGCCCAAAAGATACTGCATTCGGCAGGGGAAGGTCAACGAAAGACACTCCACCACCATTGTCACTGACCCATCAGTGACCCACCCCTGCCAGCAAACCCCATCTCACCTTCACTCACTGTGGCCTGAGATCCCTCAACAAGCCTAAGTTTCTGCCGGGCATATTACTACCAGAAGTCACTGCACAAGAAGCTATGAGCCTTTGTTTAGCTGACAGCTCTCAGATGGGGAAGATGACCTCTGCCAGGTAGTTCAATCCTGGGGAAGGCCCAATGGTGGTTACTAAAGTTTCTGTAGAATATTTGATTCAGTTGGGTCTCCACCAGGAGGCTAACAGGAGTTCTCCATTAGTTTTCTAATCGGGGGTGGGGGGGTGAACATAAGTCCCCATTGGGATAACAAGACATTGGTTGTGAAAAGGTGTCTTTGTAACAAATACAGTATGAATTTGATTCCAAAAGAATCTAAGATCATAGAGTCATAGAGTCCTACAGCACGGAAGCAGACACTTCGGTCCAACATAATGCCACTGGCCTACTCCTGGCCCATATCCCTCCAAACCTTTCGATTCATGCATCTAGCCAAATGTCTTTTCTTGCTTAAGACAAGGTTTCATCATCAAACACGTGGTTTGATAAAGTGAAAGACGCCTGGTTCTAACAATCTGATGGATAAAACAAAAAACGAACAGTAGGAAATTGTTTTCATGGTATGATTCAGGCTGAGTGGAGGAGATAAATTACCAGAGATGCAGTCATAAAGCCAAGGCCAATTCCACATAAACTAATTAAACTGACCAGACCCTACCTGCCCAAACCTGTTCTTTGCTGAAGTCAGCAGCGCTGTTTATACAATAACATTTATACAATTGACTAAAAAAAGGAGCAAGACAAGTTGAGCAGTAAAGTTCACGAGAAACCAGACAGTTAGCACCGCAGTTGCTCAAACATCAAAGAATAGATAGTTACACCGAACTGTGGTTATCATGCTACTAAGAATGAAGAAATATATATCTGCAGTTTTTCAGAACTAAGATGGGAATAATGGAGAATTTCTATAATGCAGAATACACTTCTCCATTACTTCTCAACAATATGCGTTAGCCCAAAAATTCATTCTGATTGCATCACCACACAGCCATTGATCAGCATGATTATTAGCTCAAGACCAAACGATAAAATGGTGGATCTGTATCCAACTCCTATAAGTTGGGAGTCCCCAGGATATACTGCACATTGTATTTTATAACTGGCACAAGGAGACGATTTAGATTCAAATCTGGGTTACAGACGTGAAAGGGTGGTGTTGTAAACCATGAAGATAAACCTTTCATATAAGTAGCTGGGATGGCTCTAGGCTGCAAAATGCCCACTCCAGCGCAGGTTTAAGATAGGACTGTTCAAAGAGGAAGTTTCTATTTTTCACTCTGGGGATACTTGCAAAGTTCCACTTCCAGCAGTTATTTTAAAACAGAGGTGAGAGATCAAGTGACTAGAGATTAAGAATCACTGACAGTAAACTGTGCAAGAAACCGGAAACAAAGAGGGGCATGTACAGAATTTTCTCAGACTGTCGAGAGACATTAGGCATGGGGACAGTTGTCAGTTTTGAGACATTTATTTGCTAGTGGATAATTTTTTTTAAAATATTCACTAACAGAATGAGGGTGTCGCTGGGTAGGCAGCATTTATTGCCCATCCCTAATTGCCTAGAGGGCAGTTCAGAGTCAACCACATTGCTGTGGGTCTGAAGTCACATGTAGGCCAGACAGGTAAGGATGGCAGTTTCCTTCCCTAAGTCATATTAGTGAACCAGATTGGTTTTTCCTATATTTGACAACGGGTTCATGGTCATCAGTAGACTCCTAATTCCAGATATTTTACTGGATTCAAATTCCATTATTTGCCATGGCAGGATTCGAACCCTGGTCCCCAGAATGTTATCTGGGTCTCTGGATTAACAGTCCAGCGATAATACCACTAGGCCATTGCCTCCCCAAAAATTAGTAACTTGGCAAAGGTGCATGTACACTTGTGTAAAAGATGAAACTCCCTAAAATTCTACTTTTAGAAAGGACTCATCTTTTTAAGAGACAAGTCAACATTGCAAAACTTTTACTTATCAAGGCCCTCTCTTTTCATGTTGATTGCTGTGGAGAAATACATTTTCTCTCTTCTTGCTTATTTAACTAATGTATTCCCATTTGTTCCTCTGCTTCTCCTATGCTGAGATGCTGGTGACCACGTCATCCTCAACTCCAGTCCCACTCCAACAAATCTAAATGGATGCCTCCTGCTAGACTGTTTGAGAAACAAGAACTGACACTGAGGTGAGATTGGAAATCTATCATTTACCAAAGTCTGTGTGTCTCTGTGTCCACGTGGGGTGGAGTGGACCTTAACTAATCAATAAACCCTTTCCACAACAGCATTTGCTGTCAATTGCTGACTCTGAAATTTATCACTCTTGTGGTGTCTAGTCTGACATTTAGGAAGGCTTATATTGTTGAAGATATTCTTCCAGATTGAGGTATTAAACCTTCTCCTTCAATGGGTGAAAAGATTGCATGGCACTTTTATCTTCCCTGAAGAAAACAAAGTTCACTGCCTCAATCAGCTCCAGCAAAAATGCATTCACGGGTAACTTATGACATAGCTGGACTTTGTTTTGTTCAATCCAGCTGACTTGTCTGCCTATGAAACAATAAATACACTGCACAATTAAATTATTGGCTACAAAGCATTTCAGGATGTCTCAAGGGTGTAAAAGTCATAATATAAATGCCAGTTAAAGCAAAAGAAGAGGGCTGCAGCAAGTTAACGTGGCAATTAATGATCTCATGATGACCAAAGTGACTTTGACAGAACCGTGAAGGGAATGACTACATTTCTGCGCACAAATGGTTCACTAATCAAAATGGTTCTAGATTTGAATAACAGCAATGCCTGTTAAATATTAAAAATGTCAGCCAGAACTACCTTCTCAACTAAGGAGCAACAAGAGTTGTGGACTCAGTTATCCATAAAAGCCATTAAAGTGCCCAGTTTAAAAGGGGTCAAGGTTTAAAGCTGAAAAGAGGAGATTTGAAGAAATAATGAGAGGCCAAAAGTTACAGTAGATCCAGCATACGCGATAAGATTTAGGTTAATGGCCTTTTCCCGTTTCTAAATATTTTCATGCAAAATTTCTTCTTGAAATTGAAAGATAAGTGGAAACTAGAAACCCTATTGAAACCAGAGCTGTGCTCAAATATTACATCACACGATCATACAAGAAACAGTAGACTGATAGTGACCATTTAAGTGAGGAAATACAGACTGTATAGATGACTGCACTTTCACAGTCACATTTCTGTAATAAGTGCCTTTATAACTGTAAAACTGACAGTGCTGCAGCTTAGTGCAAAACATCTCTCAAACATAATTGAAGTGATTTGTTTCAAAGTATTTTTTTTCAACCAAATCAATCCAGTTCAGTGAAATGTTGAGTGTGACATTTACAACAGAGGATGGGGTTCAACAAATGGAACTTTCTTTGAATATACAATGAGTGGAATTGCATATGGGTCTGAGTGACATGGGCCATGACATGATGTGTGGCAGAATTAGGTGAGAAGTGTAGTGAGGCGTATCTTGACATCGGGAACAACTTGCACCAATTTTTATGTTTTTCTCAAATGACATGTGCCTCAATGTTTGCACCCACCCCAACCTCCCACTGTCCACCATATGTCACCTAAGTTCCATCAAAATGCTTACAGCACCCAATACCAACTCCACACCTCATCATTGATCTTGGAAAACGGGACTACCCACGACTCCAGTGTAAATTAAAATTAGAAACCTTTAAGTGTCTATTAGGTTTGCAAACAATCAGGAAATCAGAAATCACATCTAATGCATATTATGTTAGTACAGCCTCTTAAATTTTCAAATAGTTTCTTGGATCAATAGATGACCTGCTCTGCAGAATTCAATTTTTGTTTTGAAACTTTGCGAAGCATTTATAATGGCTACAGTTGTGATATCAAAACCTTAGAGCTACATTTGCTACATTTACTGACTTATTTTCATTTCAGGATAGAGTTCATGTCAATCAATTGAGGGGTGCAAATGCAAAGATTTTATTTTTAATTTTCAGTCACAAGGTTTTTTTTTAATAGCCAGCACTGTCAGTCAATCTAAATCTCAGCAGAAGGCATGATAGCAACATTTTCTAGCCTTTAACAAGGGGAACTACAATAGAATGAGGGAGGACTTGGCTAAAGTAGACTGGAAACAAAGATTTTATGGTGGGACAGTTGACGAGCAGCGGAGGACTTTCAAAGCAATTTTTCAAAGTGCTCAGCAAAAGTATTTTCCAATGAAAAGGAAGGACTGTAAGAAAAGGGGTAATCTGCCATGGGTCTCTAAAGAAATAAGGGAGGCTATCAAATTGAAAGAGAAGGCATACAAAGTGGCCAAAAACAGCATGAAACTAGAAGATTGGGAAAACTTTAAAGGTCAACAGAAAGCCACAAAAAGAGCTATAAAGAAAAGTAAGATAGAACATGAGAAAAAACTAGCACAGAAGATAAAGACAAATAGCAAAAGTTTCTATAAATATATAAAACAAAAAAGAGTGGCTAAAGTAAACGTTGGCCCTTTAGAGGATGAGAAGGGGAATTTAGTTATGGGATATGATGAAATGGCCGAGGCATTGAACAGGTATTTTGTATCGATCTTCACAGTGGAGGACACTAATAACATGCCAGTAATTGACAAAGAGACGAAGGTAGGTGAGGACCTGGAAACAATCATTATTACGGAAGAGGTAGTGTTGGGCAAGCTAATGGAGCTAAGGATTGATAAGTCTCCTGGCCCTGATGGAATGCATCCCAGGGTACTAAAAGAGATGGCGGGAGAAATAGCAGGTGCACTGGTGGTAATTTTCCAAAATTCTCTGGACTCTGGGGCAGTCCCAGCAGATTGGAAAACAGCAAATGTGACGCCACTGTTTAAAAAGGGAAATAGACAAAAGATGGGGAATTATAGACCGATTAGCTTAACCTCTGTAGTGGGGAAGATATTTGAGTCTATTATCAAGGAATAAATAGCAAGGCATCTTGATAGAAATTGTCCTGTTGGGCAGACGCAGCATGGGTTCATGAAGGGCAGGTCATGCTTGACAAATCTTTTGGAATTCTATGAAGACATTACGAGCAAGGTGGACAATGGGAACCCAGTGGATGTGGTGTACCTAGATTTCCAAAAGGCCTTCGACAAGGTGCCGCACAAGAGGCTACGGCATAAGATAAGGATGCATGGCATTAAGGGTAAAGTATTAGCATGGATAGAGGATTGGTTGACTAACAGGAAGCAAAGAGTGGGGATAAGTGAGTGCTATTCTAGCTGGCAGTCAGTGACTAGTGGTGTGCCTCAGGGATCGGTGTTGGGACCACAATTATTTACAATTTATATAGATGATTTGGAGTTGGGGACCACGTGTAGGGTGTCAAAGTTTGCAGATGACACTAAGATGAGTGGCAGAGCAAAGTGTGCAGAGGACTGTGAAACTTTGCAGAGGAACATAGATACATTGAGTGAGTGGGCAAAGGTCTGGCAGATGGAATACAATGTAAATAAATGTGAAGTCATACATTTTGGTAGGAGTAATAGTAAAAAGGATTATTACTTGAATGGTAAAAAGTTGCAGCATGCTGCTATGCAGAGGGACCTGGGTGTTCCAGGTCCTCACCTACCTTCGTCTCTTTGTCAATTACTGGCATGTTATTAGTGTCCTCCACTGTGAAGATCGATACAAATACCTGTTCAATGCCTCGGCCATTTCATCATATCCCATAACTAAATTCCCCTTCTCATCCTCTAAAGGGCCAACGTTTACTTTAGCCATTCTTTTTTGTTTTATATATTTAAAGAAACTTTTGCTATCTGTCTTTATATTCTGTGCTAGTTTTTTCTCATGTTCTATCTTACTTTTCCTTATAGCTCTTTTTGTGGCTTTCTACAGAAGGTAGGTTTGCAGGTACAACAAGTAATTAGGAAGGCAAATGGAATTTTGTCCTTCATTGCTAAAGGGATTGAGATTAAAAGCAGAGAGGTTATGTTGCAGCTGTACAAGGTGCTGGTGAGGCCACACCTGGAGTACTGTGTGCAGTTTTGGTCTCCTTACTTGAGAAAGGATGTACTGGCACTGGAGGGGGCGCAAAGGAGGTTCACTAGGTTGATTCCGGAGTTGAGGGGGTTGGCTTATGAGGAGAGACTGAGTAGACTGGGATTATATTCATTGGAATTCAGAAGATTGAGGGGGGATCTTATAGAAACATATAAAATTATGAAGGGAGTACATAAGATAGAAGTAGAGAGGATGTTTCCACTGGCACGTGAAGCCAGGACAAGAGGGCATCGCCTCAAGATTAGAGGGAGCAGATTTAGGACTGAATTGAGAAGGAACTTCTTCACCCAGAGGGTTGCTAATCTATGGAATTCCTTGCCCAGGGGAGTAGTTGACGCTACTTCAGTAAACGTTTTTAAAGATAAGGTAGATTTTTTTTTGAACGATAAAGGAATTAAGGGATACGGTGAGAACGCGGGTAAGTGGATCTGAGTCCACGAAAAGATCAGCCATGATCTTATTGAATGGCGGAGCAGGCTCGAAGGGCCGGACGGCCTCCTCCTGCTCCTAGCTCTTATGTTCTTAAAAAAAATTCTTTATTGCATTATACCACAATACCACAATATTAGTCAATATAAGGATGAATTTACCTTTGTAGGACAGATCCCTATGATAAATCATCTCCCTAAAATACATCTATATTACAATATACCATGTAATGGTGATATTTGAAGGGGTCAAAAAATTTTTAAACACCCTGTCAGAAAGTTTCCAAATCTTCAGCAGACTCCTTGCAGTTGCCACAAAGTCTAAGGCAATGAGTATTTTTTCAAAAAGGGTTTTTAAATCCCTCACAAGCACATAAAAAGAGAGTGTCTGGGAGGAAGCACAATTTTTCTGTAGCCCTAATAATGGAGACCCCACCACTGGATGAGAACCGCATGCATTTTGCACCTAAAGCCTGCCCATCTGGCAAAAGGCCACATGAAATGATGTGGGGTCACAATGGCACAATAAAATTGCGTTTCCAGAAAAAGCAAAACTATGTTCAGCATTTTGTCACCAAACTGCACCTCCATTGGGAGATGAAAAGCAGCCCTTTTTCTCTATTTGCCTCGGCACAGACCTGTTAATTTTTTCCAACATTCTTTGCCTGATGTGAAATTTGATAGATTTGGTTAAGTCTCCCCATATCTAGCTAAACTCAAACTTATAAGAATAACATTTTTCACATAATAATTTTTCATAATTTGAGTAACAGTTGTACAATTTTAAAAAATGCAATACATGAAAACAAGAGGTGTGCATGTAGCAGCGTGGGTACCTGATCATAATGTGAATCCCCGTAGTTGCAGGAAAGCAAGGTAAATCATGTCTCTCATATAAATTAAAAAAAAATAGAAAAATCTAATTATTCTGATTTGAATTGAGACCAAAATCTGTCTTCACCTACAGTACTACAAAATAGGGTTCTGACCTTACTCACAGCAGTTACTGTAAACATTTAAAATCTAACAGTCTCTACAGGCTGCTTGGACATAAAATCTAACCCAAGACAGAGGAAATATTGCTGCTCTGCTGGCATATTTTTCATTAAATAGGCAAAACTCTAACAATGAGCTAGGGGAGGAAAACCAAAACCAGCTAAGCTTCCTGACTGATGTTCAGTGACTCAGATCAGAAGTACATATTTTTGGATGCCAGAACAATATTGGACTTAATTACTATAGCCTCAAAAGTTAAATAGCTCGATGACATCCAAATTGGCTCTAAACAATAATTGGCTACCTTGGCAAAATACCAAATGGCACTGCAGACCGTAAAATTTAGGAAGAGCAAAGGTGAAACCAAGAGAGAGAAAATATAAAATAACTATTGTGTGCAGACTATTATGATTGCAAAAATACTGTTGTGCTGTCCTACATTCATTTTACTTACCAACAAAATGGTGGTATCTGAAAGAAAAGAGGTGGGGACCAGTTTGCCAAGTACTCCTGGTTCCAATCCGATCACTTTATCTAGGGACAAATTGACTACAATATTGGCATCCCATGCAGCAGGAAGAGAATTATCAGACATTTTCACCAGATAATTGAATTACACCAGTGTCCATGACTCAACTTCTCATAGGAGGTGAGAACACACCAGGGGGACCAAGCAAAAACAAAAAGCAAGTGTTGGAGAAACTCAGCAGGTCTTGCAGCATCGGTGAAGAGAACCAGTGTTAATGTTTCAAATCTATTATGATTTCAGAATATAAATGCATTCTGAAGAAGAGTCATAACGGACTCAAAAATTTTAACTCTGCTTCAATTTCCACAGAGGCTGCCACACCTGCTGAGTTCCTCCAACATTTGCCATTATTTCAGATTTCCAGCATCTGCAGTATTTTGCTTTCATTAGGAGGTCTGAGCAGCCTGTCAGTTAAAGACCATCTAACCTTTACATGGAAGAGTGGTGGGACAGAGATCATCTTGGGACACAGGCTTGCCATTGCAGTAGTCTCTCATGCTGTCCTGTAGAATGCTTGGGTTAAAGACAAACCTTGCAATGCCATCAGCATTATCTCGCCTTCTTTGTGTTTCTTGCTCCTGTGTCCCAGGCTCTTTGGCAGAAATCTCACTACTACCACTGTGAAATCATCATCAAATCACAGCCTAGCTCTTCAGGCTGCTCAGTTTCTCATTAAATGGCAATGCATGGGCTGGGTTCTCTAACTGAATTACTCGCAAAGATCCCAACCAAAGTCCCACTACTACTAGATTAGGACCCAAACACTTTTAGAAACCATAAGATTCTGCCCTAGATTCTCATACCAGCCTCACAGATGTACAATTACGACTCCTCCATGATGACCATGGTAGAATACCATGTCCAGCACCACCACGGGAGCTACAGTGATTCAAGATGACAACACACCTTATTTGCAGGGAAGGTATGGACAGTTAATAAATGCATGCATGGCCATATTATTCACATTGCATAAAGTAATATTTCAAATCCAATCTAAAAGGAATCAACTTTCCTGCACACAATCCTGGTTTGTTTCTAGTATTTAATGTTACCTTACCCACAAGTACAAGGATGATGCATCATTCTAACTTCTCCCCTCAACAAACTCCCATATATGGTTCCAGACACACAACAATGGGTATATATTTGAAAGTGATGAAATTAGAGGGATCCAGAGATGGGGCTGAAGAGTGGGACTAACTGGGTTGCTCTTTTGGGAGCCAGTACAGACATGATGGGTCAAATTGCCTCCTTCTTTACTGTAACATTCTACAATTCTATGAACATTAGCATGCCCTGAAAAGTTTTGCTTTCAACCTCAGATTCAGTCTATACCCAAAGGATCAATTTTGAAGAGTGCACGATCCCTTGGGTTACACAGCTTTGTAGGTTTCTTGTTTCAGACACCCGATAAGTGAAGAACACCTTTTACAAATCCTAGTGAGTTCAGTCCCTAAATGGTCAAATAAATAAGAAGCTATTGTAAAGACTGTCTTTTTTGGTTTTGTTCTTGTTAAAATTGTGGACAGAAATGAAAAAAAACTGCTTTAAAACCAATTTTAAAGGATTGCTGTATGTTTTGAAAAGCAACTTAAGGTAATCATTGTGTAAACAGCTGTATGAACAACCAGTAATTTAAATTTGGGTTGCAGATGAACTAGAGCTGAGGAGTTGCAGCTGGGTGGCAACAAAAAGTTGATTGGTCTATGGGCTGATGACCTGCAATCAATAACAAAAGTCTTTATCCTGTCAACAACCATGTGATTGGATCTGAGGTTCACAGCTTGGCACTGGAAACAAGATAGAGAAGTGTCTTGATCTCCACCAGCACAGGAGTCGTCTCTCTGTTCTCTGCAGTTAAAACCCATTTTAAACCTGAAGAAAACCAGTTTGTTTTTCATTCAGCAATTGTTGTAAACTGCAACTTTTAATTGATAAGTCAGAGATCTTTTATAAGCAAAGCATCCCTCTTATCTCTTGCAAACCATCTGAAAGCATCAGAGAAGGACGACTGAAAAGCAATGTTCTGACCAGTTCAAGGCTCATCGGAATCAGCTCAGCAACCTATTAATAGCAATGACTGAACTGCCTTCCAGATTTTCTTCTATTTTTCCTTGTCTGCAAATCTGTATCTGTGCGTGTAAGGGAGAGTTTATAAGGGGATTAGCGTTTTAACTTGTAGTTTATATGCTGATCGTTAATAATTGTTTACCTGTTCCTAGACTTTACCAGCAATAAATAGTAACTCTTATTAAGTACAAGCATCTTGTCTGTGCTTTCTTTCAACCTGGGTCTGAAAAATCAGGTAAATTGGAGAATTTTGCATTATCTTAAAATCTTTTAGTTTTGCAACAAGCCCAGAAATAACTGAGCTTGATTTCCACTGCATTACCCCAGTGAGTCATGTCACTATGTCTGGTTACATATTAAGGTCCCAATAAGTAACAATGAAAGGAACAATTATAGCGTTCTGCATTGTACACATCTGGTACAACATTTGAACCTTAAGCTACCCGTGAGATACTGAAGAAATTAAAGGCAAGTCAGTGATCTCTTCCATATGGTAACTTGTTTTGACGTCCCGAGAGATTGTTTTAATCACTGGGAACACTCAGGAGCTATTTTACACCAGGGATTCTAAATAAATGCAAGATGCTGTTGTTGTTCATGCTAATCCATCAAATGTATTGGCAGATTCCTTGATTCCAGCTCCCACAATGTACATTTTGTAGATTCCCCCTTGTTGGCTACACAGATCCATTCAATGCGGACTTTCTAGATGTCCATAGCTTTACCATATTGTTCAATCTGATTGGACTGTTTTTAATGTCAAACCACATTCCATGAAATTTTGTCTCCATTTCAATAGTACTATTAACAGTGATGAGAAGGAGGTAACCCTCAGCGAAAAATAATTCAGAAAACATTCGAGGATTTAGAAGTATTTAAAGTACAAACTTGCACCTTTCATGTCTCCAATGGAACTCAAAATGCTTCACAGCCAGTTAATGATCTTTGGAAAGGGGCACATGGACACCAATTTTCACACAGACTAGATAAGTGATTGAACGTTTTGCTCACGGTTTTGTTGGTTGAGGGAAGACACACTGACCATGGCATCCTTTCAAATAAATATATAATCTACAGGTGGCATGGTTGTTCAGTGGTTAGTACTGCTGCCTCACAGCGCCAGGGACCCAGATTCAATTCCACCCTTGAGCCATTGTCTGTGTGGAGTTTGCACATTCTCTCTGTGTCTGTGTGGGATTCCTCCAGTGCTCCGGTTTCCTCCCATAGTCCAAAGGTGGATTGGACAGCTAAATTGCCCATAGTGTCCAGGGATGTGTAGGCTAGTGGATTAGCCACAGTAAATACAGGGTTACAGGGAAGGGGTAGGGGTAGGTCTGCGTAGGATGCTCTTCGAAGGATTGTTGTGGATTCGATGGGCTGAATGGCCTGCCTCCACATGTAGGGATTCTGTGATTTTACAGCTTAAGGCTGCATATGTGCAGGAGCCACTATACAGGGAAAGAATGCAGTCGGTGTTATTGTAATGAACATGATGCTGATTGTTAAATTTAAATCTTTGATTGAAATCTGATCAGTGATAAAATGGATAGTTAAATTCTTCCAGCTTTATGTATAGGCAACAGAAACAGATTAGGTGTGTCCTCATCATTCTTTGGAAGGTATGTTTTTGGCAATGGCTTTTTAGACTGTACCAATTAGTTTGAAAAAGCGACTTTTGTTCTGACCTTTTGCTTGTTACCCTGTGCTATGGTGACGAGGAAATTAATGATTTACTTGCGTCTTATGGCTTTGTGCTTACTGAAGTTTGATCATTCTTGAGGATACTGGTCATTTCTTCTACTCCAGTTTCTGTGTATATCCAAATACCACATGTGTGACCAAAGTACATAAGGTATTGCTACTATGTGACTGTATCAGCTAATAAACAAATTAGTGAGAATGTGAAAGCACCCTGAAGAGCAAAACAACAACTCCCAAAAATCAAATAATAGAAAATTTAAAGAGCCTCATACAAAGATATTACTTTGTGCCCTGTCTAGGAACAGGTTTAACTTCTTATCAAGCTTTGCAATAGCCTAGCTTCTGAAGTTGAATTAAAATGAAGGTCACTGCACATCACCTTGTGCAATCTACCACAGTACTTCTTGAACATTTGCAGAGAGAAGCTATTTATTTACTACAGTTTTTTTCATAATAACCAATTTTGTTCTATTGAGCAGCTTGGCCACATAGTTAAAAAAAATACAAAAATATCATGTCTTCAACACACAACACCACTTTCCAACTCTGGCATTTTGCTTTGAGTCTAAAATAAACTGAACGTTTATTTTCATAAATATTTCAGCCTGGAAAAATCCACAAATAACTTTCTGTGGCTTATTTTATGAAAGATTTGGAATTCAGATCTCAAAATATTTAACACACAAATTCAGCATATAATTTTTACAAATAGGGAGATGGCAGGGTGTAACTAGTAGAATCTATCAAAAACATTTCTAATTAAATCAAATAAAAATAGGAGTACAAGAGCATAAAAAGAAAATAGAAACTGAGTAGTGCTATCACATTTGTCGCCCATCCCTAATTGCCCTTTCAGAAGGTAGTAGTGAGTCATAATTTTTTTTACATAGAAATGAGTTGCCTACAGAATCCCTACAGGCCCTTCAGCCCACCAAGTTCACACCGACCCGCAGAGCATCCCACCCAGACCCATTCCCCTATAACCCACCTAATCTACACATCCCTGAACACTATTGGCAATTTAGCATGGCCAATCCACCTAGCCTGCACATTTTTGGACTGCGTGAGGAAACCGGAGCACCCGGAGGAAACCCACGCAGACACAGGGAGAATGTGCAAACTCCACACAGACAGTCGCCCGAGGGTGGAATCAAACCTGGATCCCTGGTAATGAGGCAGCAGTGCTGACCACTGAGCCACCATGTCGCCCCAAATTTCATTGCAACTGTCCAAATGTTAGCCTTTAGGCTCTTCTGTAGTGACTTGGGACAACAGAGTTATATTCTAGGCCATTTCAGAAGACAGCTAAGAGTCAACCACATTGCTATGGGTCTGGAATCACATGTAGGCCAGACCAGGTAAGGATGTAGATTTCTTTCCCAAAAAGGAATCAGCTGGTTCTTACGTCAATCATTGAAATTTTTACTGAGTCCAGTTTTCAATTCCATATCAATTAGTAGCATATACTAGCTGGTATGGTGGGATTCAAACCAGTGTTCACAGGGTAATAACGTCATCCATAGGTTGCTAGACCACTGATGACCATTATACCTTTCCCATAGTGCCTAACCTTGAATCCAATCCAAATTGATGGAATGAAAGTCAAATGTGAATCATAAAGACTGCCCAGTTGGAGAAAACGATCCAAAGCAAGAGATTTGACAATATGGCACTAAAAAGGTAATTTCACTCTGAAGCCAGAATGATATGCAGTCAAACTGTGAATGTCAATGCAGTACTGGATGTTTTTCTGAGGCTGAGGAACAGGAACACGTGTGGACAGAATAGAAAGAGCTCAAATCTGCATGTGAATTGTTACTCTGGATCCAAGAGCTGACATCCGATGTTAACAGTCCCAATATCCCTCACTGAGGCAAACAATTTGCCAGCGACAAAATATGAAGCAATTTTTGCTGCCAGAAAGCCAATCATTATACCGCTAGCTTGTTCTGAAAATTATAGGAAGAAATATTTGATGCACAAAAAGCATTAATACAGTGCTGCTATTTTAATGGTGCAATGATAAACAAACACGCTTTTTGGTTTAGACTTCCATAGAATATGCTCTGAAACTGGAGATAGAGCACGAGATGCAGTGGTGTAGTCGGTAAGGTCACTGGACTAGTAACCTGAGCACCAGGCTAAATTCTGGGCACAGAGTCTCAAATCCCATCATAGTGGATGGTAAAATCTAAATTCATTAACATCCTTTAGGGAAGAAAATTTGCCATCCTTACTTCAGTCCAGCCTACATGTGACTCCAGACTCACTGTAATGTGCTTGACTATTAGCTGCCCTCTGAGTAATTAGAGATTGGCCAGTGATGCCCAATAATAAAAACAAAGTGATTCCAGTAACAGCAGTAACAGAGACAAGAATTCACTCAACCCTCATGTTTCGGAAAGTCTACATAAGTGCTGAACAGATAAGTGCTTCTGCTGGTTTCTTTCAAACAAAACAACACTTAATGTGCTAATATTTATTGATTAATATTGGTTGTTTGCCCAAGACCTATCCAGGCTGACTGCCTCCTTAACTCTGGAACTGTTGCGTACCTTCTGCAATGGCTGAAAGGTATGTTGGACTCCATTGGCTCTGATCCAGTTTTATTGATTGTGTATTTTAGATAGTTCTAATAGTTTTAGTATATGTTTATTTTAGATTTTACGTATTTATTTTCTTTTATTGATATTATATTGAGTTTTATTAATAAAGTTGCCTAGTTTTAATCACTAGTAAGGGTGGACAGTGATGGTGGTTTGTAATAAACTTCACTAAAACACATCAGATGATATCAGTAGGGTTTAGATGCTAACCAAAAGTTGTGTGACCTCACTCACGATTTCCGCATTCGGTACTCTGCTTTACAATAGAATGACCTATTCCCTTCTATAAGACCTAGTTGGCTGAGCTAAATAGTGGGCTTTAATGATGTGTCAACGAGCGATGTTAAAACTCAGCCAGAGCACTACAGACTGCTATAGATTGGAAATTGATCGTCATCGTACCATTCAATAGCCACATGCACTTACATAGTATTTTTAATGCAAATATCCCAATGTGCTTCAGGAGAGAGCTGTAAAACAAAACTTGATACTGGCCCATTCATATAAGGAAATATTAGCACAGAATATCAAAGGGATAGATTTTAAGGAGCAGGTTAAAGGAGGAAAGAAGTAGAGAGATGGAGCAAAAACAGAAATTGCTGGTGAAACTCAGCTCCTCTGGCAGCATCTGTGGGGAAGAAAGCAGAGCGAACATTTCAATTGTGGTGACTCCTCGTTAATATTCAGGTGTTAGGTCACGTGAAACAATCAAGGTTGCAAAAAGTCTGGTTCAGCCTCAGCCAGGTACAGGGGACAGGGATGGAGTTGGCAGGTAAGAAATGGAATTTGTGGCAGTGATTAAAGACAAAAGCACGAACAAAGACAGAAATCGCCTTTAAAGCATCAGCTTTATATTGTGTATTAATGCTAGAGAACTGTCTGCTTTGTTTTGACAATTCAAGGAAAAAAAGGATGCAATTACAATGAGAGTACAGGTTATACTCAGTGCTGCTATTTTAATGGTGCAATGATAAACAAACACGCTTTTTGGTTTAGACTTCCATAGAATATGCTCTGAAACTGGAGATAGAGCACGAGATGCAGTGGTGTAGGCGGTAATGTCACTGGACTGGTAACCTGAGCACCAGGCTAAATTCTGGGCACAGAGTCTCAAATCCCATCATAGTGGATGGTAAAATCTAAATTCATTAACATCCTTTAGGGAAGAAAATTTGCCATCCTTACTTCAGTCCAGCCTACATGTGACTCCAGACTCACTGTAATGTGCTTGACTATTAGCTGCCCTCTGAGCAATTAGAGATTGGCCAGTGATGCCCAATAATAAAAACAAAGTGATTCCAGTAACAGCAGTAACAGAGACAAGAATTCACTCAACCCTCATGTTTCGGAAAGTCTACATAAGTGCTGAACAGATAAAGATTCACTGTGGGTCATGAGACATGAATTACGTACGCTTACTGCTCAAGTAATCAATGACAGTAATTCCATAGAATAGCTAGGGAAAAACCTCCTGAATTATAATAGCATTTTAGCCATCTCCAAATCTTACATTTTTCTAAATCAGACATACCCGCCACTGCTGTGTCGCTGATTGTGTTTGGACATTTTGTACGGCAGTGTCCGTTCTCCTAAATTCTCCAGGTTCCTCACCACAGCTCCATGCTCCAGTAATGCCTCCACTGTACGGCGTATGGCTGCAGCTGTCTCAGTCTGTTAAAGAAATAATGGGTGTGGAAGTGGGGGTGTAGGGGTAGGGTGTAGGAGAGAGATTGATAGAGGGGAAGACAGGAAAATGGGAGAGCAGAAAGATGATAATTTGAGTCCAATGGTGGCACCAACTAAAACACCACTTAATATCTCAAAACCCCAATCACTTCTCACTTGGAGTAATTTATTTACAAGCGTCAAAAGCTCCCCTAATAGGAAGCATTTTGAATTTGGAAGGAAATTCTAAATACAATAATATCTTCAGAATCTATGAAGTTTGACCATTTTGATGTCTATTTAGGATATGGAGAAAATCATGTTCTGGTCACCTCTAGATGAATGATTTACCTCCTGTGACACTGTAAATTGAAGGAAAAGTTATCCCTTCATGATATGTCTAGTGAATTTCAAAACAAAACTGCTTTTAAAGGCACCGCAAGGATAATTTCAGCACAGTCTTCTCACAACACATCAAGCCTTACACTGAGAGGTGCTCCTTGCTCATTTTTATTGCCACCAACCCGAACTTGACCAGCAGAATATCAATAATGTAGTAAAAGTTGATGTCTTCAATCAATTGAAGCATAGCATCAAAAATCAGAATGTGCTTGGGTAAATGCTACAGTACCCTATAAAATAATTAATAGCCGAGCATTTGGAAAACAGCAGGATTGGACAGAGACAGGATGGATTTATGAAAGGGAAATTGTGCTTGACAAATCTCTGAAACTCTTCAAGGATGTAACTCATAGGAGTTGTTCAGGAGAGCCAGCAGATATACTTTATTTGGTCTTTCAGACAGCTTTTGACACAGTCCCACATGACAGATTAGTGTGTAAAATTATACATAGGATTGATCATAGAATCTCTACAGTGTGGAAACAGGCTCTTCGGCCCAACAAGTCCACACTGACCCTCAGAGCATCCCACCCAGACCCACCCCCTCTATAACACACCTAATCTACACATCCCTGAACACTGTGGGCAATTTAGCATGGCCAATCCACCTAGCCTTCACATCTTTGGACTGTGGGAGGAAACCGGAGCACCCAGAGGAAACCCACGCAGACACAGGGAGAATGTCTGTGTGGAGTTTGCACAGTCACATGAGGGTGGAATCCAACCCAGGTCCCTGGTGCTGTGAGGCAGCAGTGTTAACCACTGAGCCACCATGCCGCCCCTATGGGGTACTGTGTTGGCAGACAGGAAACAAAGAATAGCAATAAATGGGTATTTTTCTGAATTACAGGCAATAACCAGTGGGGTACTGCAAGGATTAGTACTAGGACCCCAGCTTTTCACCATATATTTATACGATTTAGATGAGAGAACTAAATGTGATATCTCCACGTCTGCAAGTGATACAAAGCTGGGTGGAAGGACAAGCTGTGAGGAGGATACAGAGATGTTACAGTGTGATTTGGACAAATTGAGTAGGCAAATCCATGATAAATGAAGTATAATGTGGATAAGATGTGAGGTTACTCACTTTGGCAACAAAAATGGGAAGGCAGATTGTTTGAATGGCTATAAATTGTGAGAGGGAAAATGTGCAATCAGACCTGGCTGTCCTCATATACAAGTCACTAAAGGTAAGCTTTAGTCGTACAGTAAATGTGATGTTGACTTTCATAGCAAAGGATTCGAGTACAGGAGTAAGGGTGTCTTGCTCCAATTATAGAGGTCCTTGGTGAGACTACACACTAAAGTATCAGTGGTTAGTGCTTTAAATTTTATTGTTCCTAATTCGTGTCGATGCGCAAACTAATTCTAAGCTTGCTACTTGAGTTGAAATAGGTAATGAGGAAGTAATTAGGATGCTAGGGAAGGATTTTAATGAGTTATGCAAGTGGAAAATTAATGTGATTTAACATTTGTCAATCGGCGAACATTCTCAACTCGTGCCAAACTTCTTGATGGCTTTGACTGGTGCAAAGGAAACTCTGAGCTACAATCTACAGCAGCTGGTTTCCCCGCGATTCACTTTTTTTGAGAATGGATTTGGGCTGTTGAGATGTCATGATGTGGCTATACAGGACATTGGAGAGGCCTTTTTTAAGAATACAGCGTACAATTCTGGTCTCCCTGCTGTAGGAAAGATGTTGCGAAACTTGGAAGAATTCAGAAAAGATTCACAAGGATGCTGCCGAGACTGGAGGGAGAGGCTGGATAGGCTGGGGCTATTATTCCTGGAGTATCGGAGGCTTAGGGGAGACCTTACAGGAGTTTTAAAAAATCTGAGCAGCATGGATAGGGTGAATAGCCAAGGTCTTTTTTCGCATAGTAGGAGAGTCCAGAACTAGAGGCATGGTTTTGAAGTGAGAGGGGAAAGATATAAAAAGAACCTGTGGGACAAACACTTTTACACAGAAGGTGGTGCATGTGTGGAACAAGCTGTCAAAGGAATTGGAGGAGGTGGGTACAACATTTGTAATTGTCTAATTACAACATTTAAAAAGCACCTGGATGGGTACATGAATAGTTTAGAGGGATATGGGCCAAAAGCTGGCAAACAGTACTAGGTCAGTTTAAGATATCTGGTCAGCATGGACAAGCTGGGCTGAAGGATCTGTTTCTGAGCTATACATCTCTAGGAGTCTATGATTATGACAGCCATTAAGCAACTCATATTACTTCCCAAATGTCTGCATAGCAGGCCGTAATTGGACAGTGGTCAGCAGCTGTGCCGGGGCTGGCAGAGATAATGCCAATTCTACTCAGCAAACCCACCTGCCAATTTGTACCATGCCACTCAAGTAACTACTCTTACCAATCAACTGGATCTGAGTAACTACATAATCAGCAACATAGTGCCTTGACATGAGGGACAATCTTCAGAACTGGCAGAAGAAGCAACTGTACTCTTACATCATATCATCAATATGATTGACCTACTCTCCACAGTTAAATTAAATAGGCTTGGCCTCCACCCTTCTTCGTTTTATCCTATATCCAGGATTGCTCAAGAAACAGCTTTCACAGCTTCCTGAACTACACTAAGCTAGTTATAGTAGACAAACACGCACCAGCATTCCCTCTAACCTAATTCTGTCCCGAGATTAAACATTATAATTCAGCTTTCTGATAGGTTAAGGTGGAGAAATCAGCATCGCGTTCATAGCAAGATTTTTGTTGATTCTACAACAGGATTTTTTTTTTATTATTCATTAAGGCGATGAGGGCATTGCTGGCCAGGCAGCATTTACTGCCTATCCCTAAAAGCCCAGAGGACAGTTCAGAGTCAACCACATTGCTGGGGGTCTGGAGTCACATGTAGGCCAGAACAGGTAAGGGTGGCAGTTTCCCTCCCTGAAGGACATTAATGAATCAGATGAGTTTTTCCAACAATCAACAACTGATTCATGGTCATTAGATTCTTAATTCCAGATATTTTTCATTGAATTCAAATTCCACCATCTGCCATGGTGGGATTCGAACCCAGGTCCCCACAGAACATTATCTGGGTCTCTGGATTAACATCGCCTCCCCAATTATGCAAGCAGAACATCTGCGTCAAAGCACGTTCCATCCAACCTCCGCAAGGACAGAGCAACCACCTCTATCTTGAGGCCAAGATGAAATTAAACACAGTAAACATTGCAAACTGCCCGAGGTTTAGCCAGACTGTCGTACAACTTGTTGTCATAACTAATAGAGACGTGAATCTAACTACACATGTGTTATTACAAAGACTGACTGTTTTCTCCTCCCTAACGTGCACAACTTTGTCCCACCTCAACTCATCTGCTTCTGAAACTCTCATCCATGTGTTTGCTATCTTTAGTGATTTGACTATTCCAACAAAATGCAGCACATCCTCCCATCTTGCATCATTGGTAAACTTCAGACAGCCCAAAACTTTGCTGCTGTGTTCTATTTTGTAACAATCAAGTTTACCACCTTCTGCCTAGTGATCCAGGCTTTCAAGCAATGCCTCAATTTTAAAATTCTCACCGTTCACTTCAATTCCCTTTGTGGCTTTGCCCCTCCCTGTCTCTGCAACCTCTGCCAGGTCCATAAATCTTCACAGTACCTGGGCTTCTACAACCTGTCCTCTTCAGCACCCTGATCATTAGCAAACCACCAATGGCAGCCTAACTTTCAGCAGCAAACTTTTGGGATTCCCTCCCTAAACCTCATCATCTTTTTATCTTTCTTTTCACCTTTGTAACTCCTTAAAGTGTAGATTTTGGTCATGTGTCAAAACTCTATGTGTCTCATGTGTGTTTGAATGTGCTCTTGGATGCTTTATTAAAAGATACTCTATAACCTGTTTTCATGATAATTTGGAAATGGTTTTGGAGCTTAAGTGATTAATTAAAGCATTGCAAACTAAAATACCAGAAACTGTTTGGCACCCATAAAGGAGATATTACAACCCTATTTTTTTTTTGTTTTACAGATGTCTGAGATCTTGTCATGTTACTGCTTCTCAATTTCCCTCCGTCAATTAGGGGCCTATAATACAATCCCAACAAGGTGATCATCCCTTTCTTACTTGTCAGTTCCACCATATAACTTCACCAGATGATCTCCGAGGAATATCCTCCCTAAGTACAGCCGTTAATGTCATCCCTAAACAAAGACATCACTCCCCGTCCTCTCTTGCCTCCGTTTCTATCCTTACCGTAGCATCAATACCACGGAACATTAAGCTGCTAGTCCTGTCAATCCCCGGGCCATGTTTCTATCATAGCTACGTATCCCAGTACCATGTTCCGAACCATACCCTGGTTCATCTGCCTTACCTGTCAGGCCTTTTGCATTGAAGTAAATGCAATTTAATTTATCAGTCTTACCTTGTTCTCTGCCAGCCTCTTGTCTGCCTTGAATATTTGACTTACTTCTCTGACCTACTGTACCAGCCTCAGCCTTTTCTCCTTTTTCACTGTCACTTTGATTTCCTTCCCAATCCCCTACTAGTTAAAGTCTTCCAAGTAGAAAGCAAATCTCCCTGCAAGGATATTGGTCTCCTGATTGCTGATTCAAAGTCAAAACAGAAA